AGAAGGGACGTGGGTGTGGTTATAACAATATCAGCAGGAGGGAGCCTTGGGGTATTGAAATAGGTCAGGACTTTGGCTTAGGTGGTAAATACAGGAACCTACGCAGGCAACAAGAGTGCACAAAACTTAACACACATAGACTCACCCACAAAGACATGTACAAGTAAAAAGGGGGAAATCTGACTTAGATGAGTTCATCGTATCAACGTCAATGCTGTGGTTGATAGTGCTACCACTGGGGTACACTGGACAAAGGACAGCAGATTCTATTATTTCTAACAACTTTGGGTCCATCTACAAATTTCTCTGTTAAGTTTTCCATTTCAGCTGGACTGGCCACAGGTGCCCAGATCCAACACCGCTCCTGGGCGTGTCTGGGAGTGGCATTTCAATCCGCGGGCTAAGTAGTGGGGACGGCCCTCCCCAATGTGGCGGCACCGTCCCAAGCCCTGGGGGCCCGCACAGAACAAAGATAAAGGGAAGAGGAGTTCGCCTCGTATTTCCTGCCTCACTGTGGAGCTGGGGCCTCGCTTCTTCCCCCGCCCTCAGACTGGGACGCACACCTTCTGCTCCGCTGGCTCTCAGGCCTCGGACTCGGACCGATGAGGCCGGCGGCTGCCCTGGGTCTCCAGCTTGCGGCCGGCCGGCCATGGCACTTCTCAGCCTCCGTAACCATGTGAGCCAATTCCTCGTATAACAAATTTCTCTATATACAGGGTCTGGCACAAATAACGCCCCTTTTTATTATAGAATCTTAAGCACGTAATTCTGTAACATAACAATATCACACTCAAGCACGCCATACAACATTTTAGGTGAAATGTTCAAATTAAAACTATAAATTATTACACCCATATTATTATCCTACCAACCACACTCAGGCAGGCGTTGCTTCTGCCAGACACTATATATAGTAAAACTCATAATAAATCAATCTATGTGTATATATATGCGTATACACATATGAGCATACTTTATGTATATATGTGCATGTGTATACGTGTATATATATGTACATGTATACACACACACACATATATGGTCTGTTTCTCTGGAGAACCCTAATATAACACATTATATTGTATTTCTACCATAAAGATACAATAAACATAAGTAACTTCAAGATCATGAAAATAGTAAAACATGTTTTTAAAGAAAGCGGTGAGGTCTAACTATACATCACCTTTGTTTTTCATGTAATGTATTTAACTGTGATTAGTACATTCTCTTTTAATAATGGCTACTCGCGGGCCCCACAGCCTGGCGAGTCCTGCCCGGGGCGGGGGCGGTTCCGGCACACCCAGCAGGGAGGGAGTTTCTCACCAGGATCACCATCCCTCCCACGAGGCCTAGGTGAACTTGGAAATAAGGAGAAGGTGGGAATTACACATTAACCCTCCCCTCTTTGCTACTGAGCGCTTTTCTTTTATCACCTGTTCTCCTGGATCTACAGAGAGCCCTCTGCCGGCTGCTTTTCGGGAGAGAACTGTGCCCTGGCTTCACCCACCAGACACCGTGCGTCAGTAGCTGGGAGGCGCGCACCAGGGAGAAAAGGAAATGAAGCTCTCAGATCAGAAACAGACAGACAAGAAAGTAGGATGTGGGGATCTGCCCTCCACCAAACCGCTTGCCCGCGGGTCAGGTCCCCTGAGGCCACCCTGTTTCTGTTCTGGGGGATATGGGTACAAAACATCAAGTCTAGGCAGCGGCTAGAGAGAGGTCCAGTTCGCGTTCAGATCACAGGTACAGTGGATCAGGGACAGCTGGGCTGACAAGGGTGTATCGCACAGTCCCTGCAAGGGACTGTTAAATTGTGGATATGAATGTGCAAGGTGCCGCGTCTCGCTGGAAAGGACACTGGTGTAGTCATGGGGAACATGCTTCACGGCAGACACTTCTCCCTGTGACATGCCTGATGTGGCTGGGAGCTCACATTTGTCAGAAAGCTGCCCGCTGTTTTCACATCCTTGTGCAGTGACATAAAAGCTATGGCTCAGGTGGCCCGATACTTTTATACAGGAGAGCTTTCTCCAGGTTGGCAAAGATGTACTCTCACCAAAAATAAGCAGGCTGTATTCTTTACCTCTGCTGTCCAAGGCTTCTCATCCATCTCCTTCTCTCTCTCTCGATCTTTTTTTTTTTTTTATCCTCACCTGAGGACATGCTTATTGGTTTTAGAGACGGTAAGGAGGGAGAGAGAGTGGGAGAGAAACACCGATGGGAGAAACGTGGATCGGTTGCCTCCCGTATGCACCCTGACCAGGACGGAACCCACAACCCGGGCATGTGCCCTAACTGGGAATTGAACCTGCAACCTTTCGGTTTACAAGACGACACTCCAACCAGCTGAGCCATACCAGCCAGGGCCATCTCTTTCTCTCTTAATTGTTAATACAATTTGAAAGTTAAAGTGCCATATAAAACAGAAATTTCATGATTTATGAGGGGTGAGGAGCACAGGCTGCAATTTGATGCATCTGCCAGCTCCACGACTTTGGAAAAATTATGTAATGCTCAAGGTCTCAACTTCCTCACCTGTAAAATGGGAATAACAATCGTGCCTGTCTCCTAGTCACGGTCGTGAGGAGTAAAGGAGAACATATCTCACATGCTCGGAGCAGTGCCATGTACAAAGCATATGCTCCCTGAAGTTACCCATCATAGCTCAGCAGTCCAGAAATAGACATATAGACCTATTTGTCTGTGTGCACGCATGTGCGCACATATGATAATGCTGTTCCACTAGAAACTGGTTGTATTTTGACCACCCAGCATGCATTTCCTGCTCCCCTTCCCCAGTAACTTTCTTTTTGGGAATTACCTCTTGGGTCCCTTTGCTGGGACACTGAAGCCAACTCTTTCTTGTCTTGGCCAATCAAAATGCTCCTCCCTGGCTTCTGACTACAGCGAATAAACAAAGAGGTTAAGAACCACTGGGATGTTTCATGGCTACAGACCTGCACACTGTGAATTCAGGGTCCTGCTACAATGTCCCCGCTCGGGGCCAAGCCTCACACCCACAGTTCCCAAGCTTAACCTCTAGACCTTAACCTATGGGCCCATCACCCTTCCAATGAAAGGCTTCTGGAATTGTCCATTATTGTACCTTGTCACCAAAGAACTCTTAATAATTCAGGTAGCATTTCAACTCATCAAGGAAATACCAGGTGACTCAGGAAATAGTTTTAGAAAAGCTAGCGGCCAATTTTTTGCGGTGTTGGGGGTGAGGGAGTTAAATTCATCAAATGAATTCGAGAATATTACAGAATTAACTATTTAAAAAAAGCATGCTATAACCAAGGGAAATTACTAGGGTAATGAGATCTTGGGAAAGAGGAGGTCTTATTATTGGTTCCAAAGTAAGCCCACAAAGGAAAATATTCATAGGTCTGAATACACAAAAGTAAAATTTTTCTAGGTCGAAAAATAAAATAAAAAAAGATGACAATCCAGGAAATGTATTTGACCAATATAAGCTGCAGGGCTCAAAGCCGTAATATATAAAGAACTCTTACAAATCAATAAGATAAATAGTGAAATCTAAAAATGAGTAAAGGTCCCAGTCCATTTACAGAAGAAAAAATATAAATTGTGGATATGAATGTGTATATATTATCCATAAACATAACAATGCTCCTTTTCTGCTTTCACGCAGAATAGGAGACAGGGAAACAGGGTCTGGGACTCAGACCAGGAGTGAGCCTTTCCAGACCGGACGCTAGGCTTCCTTTGGGATCTGGGCCCCCAGGTTCTGTTGCTACTTTGCCCCAGTTGCTCTGTCTCCCACACACAAGGCCTTGCATAGGAAATTGAGGGTCAGAGGAAAAAGGGCTGATCCCATGGAGGTTGCCAGAGTTTTGCCACATTCATAGCACCTAGTATTTAGGAAGTAAGAAGCTGATTAAGTTGTGTATAGGGTATAGGTCGGCAAGTCACCCTTTCTGATGGAGATGGGGCTCCAGGCTGTGAGAATTCTTAGTCTGGGGCAGATCTTGTACATACCGAGGATGTTCTGTGTACATCATGTTGGGATGCAACCTGATCAGTTTGGTCCAGGCCGTACCGAACAGCAAATAACAAGGTGAGATTCTCATGGTTAGACTCATTGGTATTTCAGCATTGAAACTGGGCCAACTCACACTGGACCCGCTGGCCCCAGCAGGTAAGGGAGGTAAGAGCAGCAGCTGCCCCTGTGGACCCAAACAGCATGGCGCCGAGAAATGGAGGCCTGGCCTGGCTGCAGAGAAGATTCAGCTAAATCAGGACACCCCTGACCCCTCAGAAACGACAGCCACTGGCTGAGCCAGCTCATGGAGGGCTGGGGAGGAAACGCGTGGTTCTAAAAGGTAGCCCCGTACAGTCTCCAAGATAAAGAAACAAAGGCTCCTGTCCCCATGCCCAGCAACCAGTCCAACGAGACCCTTACCTAATGCGACCAGACGTGCCCCAATTCCTGCCGCAGCCAGATGCACCTATTACCACACCAGGAGCCAAGTCAAGATATGGAATGATGATTCTATGCAAGTTTCATATCCCCTACAATGTACATAGCACGCTGTCTACGATTTTCCTACGTCTAAAAGCTAATTCTCTTTTTAAATTGAAATGCTGAGAACAAAATTGTTTTGATGCACTCACCTCATATATATATGCTTGTATATTGGCACTTAAAATCGACTTACAAAATTGATTTTTAAAAATCCAGGAGAGAAAAATCAATGCAACAAATGCTAAAATATAATCGTTACTAAAGAGATCCATTCTAAAACAGCATTACGCTCCGATCCTTAGAAATATTCTATTAGTAACTGATGTACAAAGCAGTACAAGCGTCAATTTGTGAGAGTTTTTAGAAAGGAACCAAACTTCACTTTAACTCCTTAAACAACCATAAAATATTGGACTAAATCCAAAGACACACTAACATTATTTTAAAAATTACTTTCATGCAAAATTAAAGCCTTTGACCTTCATCAAAAGGTTTGTGTTCCATTACTCACCAGCTGACAGGCTTCTAGGGAGTTGACGAGCTGAGCATTCTGACAGGAGAGAATAGAACCAGCCAAGTTCAGCATTACACACACTGCAGAGAGCAGCATGAAAAAGGTTATCTGGAAGCGAACCAAACAAAAAATTGATCATTCACTAGGAGACGCTCAAAGGAAAAATGGTTTGGCTGTAAAAAAACCTTTCAAGTTGATCAAATAATTACATGTGTAATCTGTTTCAAAGGAAAGTCTTGTTTCTCAAAAGTTCAAATTCAAATTCCCTTAAGTCAAATAGAAAAGGTAAAACTCTGAAAAGCCGTTGTCAGCGACCATGATTTTATTTGAAATCGAAGGAAAACTATTTTAGAAGCTAAACTTGAAAAATGCTATAGAGTCTCAAAATAGTTTTAACTAGTCTCAAAAATAACAATTTATAAGTTACTAAAGAAAACCAAGTGAAAGAAGTTTATTTCTTAGAAGGCCTTTCTTTCTTTTACTATTTTTATTTTTTCATTTTCTATCACCGTTGTCCCAATTTTTTCCCCTTTGCCCCCCTCCGTCCGCCCCCCCCGCCCCCCGCCCACCCCCACACTGTTGTCCACGTCCCTGGGTTATTCCTGCACGCTCTTTGGCTAGTCCCTCTTCCCCTCCTTTCCACCATTGTCCCCCACCCCTCTCCCCGCCCCCGGTCACTGTCAGTTCTGTTTCGCGTTCCTATGTCTCTAGCCCTATTCAGAAAGCCATGTACTGAAGCCTCAGGCCCCTATCGCCCACTCTCAACAATTAATCAACTCAGGATCAGTTGTGTTTCATTTATACCCACTGCCCTCCAGGAGTTTTTGCAGCCAATATTAATATTATACGATTTCATTCTTAAATATGTTAAGTTCCTATTTCTAAAATAATTTTTTGAAAACATAGCCACAATACTGCTGTCACCTTTATAATAATTCATTAAGATCAGATATTCAGGTTTTATATTTTTTAATTATCTCAAATTGTTTCATACTTGGAACCAGGCTACGTCGAATATAAAGGAGTTCCATACTGAATGTTAGATATTTTTTAATTTATGGCTGTTTCCCCTACATTGTTCTTTTTTCTTCCTTGAAATTTGCTGAAGAAACCAGTTCAATTGTCAGTTTCCTGTAGCCTAAACTTTGTTACTTGTCCCCTATCACTTAATCTGTCTTCATCCTCTGTATTTCTTGTAATTTGGTGGTTTGATCTAGAGGCTTAATCAGCTTTGTGAAGCGCTACACAGAAAAACACAACCCTTAAAAAGTAAAACACTGATGATTTTTACACATTAATATCCAATCTGTATGACAAAAATAAATTGGAAATGTGAGAAGGTATTTGCAGTAGATATTACATCGAGTATGCAGAAAAAAATCAATAGAAAGGTCTAACAGGTTTTTTAAAAACCTGATGGCTAAAAAAAAAAAAAAAGAAGAGAGCAGAGGATGCTTAATATCACTAACAAGCTTGAAGTTCAAGTCAAAACTACCATAAAGTACCACTTCACACCCACAGAATAGCTGTAGAGGACAAATTTTCTTAAGGTGCAGGAGGGCAGGTCAGTAAAAAAGGACTCTAAAATGTGGGCAAGAGTGTAACTTAACCCAAGCGCGAAAGCAACCGGGCAAGAACACCCCCGAGACTGCTGTTTGCTTCTGGCTGGAGAAACTGTCACACAGTCCTAAGGAAGCGCTGTAGACCCTCGCAGGGAGCAAATTATTGGAAATGACCTAACTGTTAGGGAATGGATAAACAAACCGTTATACTTTCCCCCATGAAACAATTAAAATGAATCAGATCTACCTAGCTCGCTCTCAAAAACAATGTTGAATACAAACAGCAAGTTGCAAAAGGATACAGTATAGGGCCAATTTTTAAGTTGGCAATGCTCACAAAACACTTCCATATCCTGCTCATGTATATACACATATAAAATATTAAATGATACAATAGTGTGATAGCTACCATCTTTTGACACTTCAGGGTGAGAAGAAAAGATGTAAGGGCTTGTCTGGTCTGTAAAGTTTTGTATTTTAAATCTAAACCAAAATGGTGATTCATTGATGGTGAATTACTAAGATCTCTCTGAGAAAAGTGTGGCAGAAGATACATGCCTCAGTTGTAACGAATAATGGGCGCTGGGTTATGATCGATTTTCACCATGAAGATGAAAACACCAGCATTAGAACACAGCAGAGGGGGAGGCAGTCAGTGAGGCAACGGGGCGTTAAGCAGGATGCTGAGCCAGAAAGAAAATGCAAACAAGAAGGAAGGTCTTTCTTTAAGAACCAACTATATTCCACTGATTAAATTAATGCAACGTCTAATTCAACAGAATTAAATAAAACCCTGTGACCTAGCACACCCCTCCATGCCACCACAGATTCTTCTAGAATATTTCTAGGTGAAAGTGTTGATCAAATTCACATAATATTTTTTCATGGTTAATTTGCAGTATCTTCCACCCCCAAAACAGTTATATTTATTTATCCACTGAACAATTACTTGTTGAATGCCTGCAAACAAACAGCATTTTGCCAGAAGCTATGGGGCAACAGGGTAGGCCATGGGCTGTTTTCTCCAGGTTCATGTAATCCATATAATTAACTATGATACAGTTATTATTTTCCCCATTTTAGAGATAAAGTGAGATTCAGAGAGTTTAAAACCTACCCCAAATCACCACGCTGACATAGCATGAGCTGTAATTCAAATTCAGTTTGTCAACCTCAAAATCTATATACCTTTTTCATTACCCTACAATGACCTCTCAAAGCCTGATGGAGACACTAACATCTAACTTCCCTGCTCTTACTATTTTATATGGGCTATACTCACCGTATACCATGAATTGTTTTTTCATAAAACCATATAATAGACTGGAAAAATACTGTTGTAACTTTTGAACCAGTGATGCTAATTCTAGGAATGAGTTCAAGAAAGATAAAGAAAACCTTTCAATTTTTTCTAATTGTCCCATACCAAGGAAATAAACAACAAATTTTAAAAACAACTTAAGGAACAAATAACTAAAATGCTCCACCCCAGGCACTGCACCAGGAACTTTGCATATATTTCCATATCCAACTGTCACATGACCAACGGTAACACAGGCATCAACAGCCCACTTTACAGGTGAGGAAACGCCTGCAAGCCAGTTAACTAACCTGCCGAAATTCCTGTGGCCAGTTAGGTGGGCCCCGAATCTGAAGCCAGGTGACTATCTGCTTCCCAATTAGTCAGTTACTAAAGGTTCTATCAACTGTTCTGTGACCCACCGTAAGAGAAATGTATTTTACATCGTGATCCGAGCTGCACGCACACACACCGAAGTACAGCAACTTCTACAAAACACTTCCTACCTTAATGTGCAGCAAAAATTGCCTTTTTAAAAAACGCTGGTTTTGAGTCATGAAATTTCTTGTGACTTATGATTTAAAAAACGCACAATGCTTAATTCCTTCAAAGATACAGTATTTATTAAAACTATAGTACCAAAGAAAGAGAAATAGAACTAAAAGGTTAGCCACAGAGCTGAATAATTATGCATGTAAAAAAAACTGTTACTCAGAAAAAACACAACTTCCTTAGAACAATGTATAATGCTTATATACATAAACAAAATATAAAATAGCTGTTAAAGCAAAAAAGGATATGAACAATTATATATTTTTTAATTTATAAAGGTTTTTATTTTTCCTTACAAACTGGGGTAGTTAAGAAGCCATGTAATAGCCATTTTGTTTTTATTTTCTTGGCACCAAAACACTTCACTGTGTCCTTTGTTCCAGATCTCGGTACAAAGTTTTCCAATTAGTTGTATAAAGCTAGCCAAGGTTTTACACACACAAGAAAAAAAACCCACAGGCAGTAAAACAAAATAAAGCCTCTCCTCGTATATTTAAAAATGAAAATTGGAAACCAAATACCTTTTAACAGTAAAAAAAACCCCAAACACCAAAGTTTGCAAACAAGTCCGAAAGCTACACAGATGTACGTGTTACAGAAATATGCTCCCTCCAACCGACAACCCTCGAAGCCCGTGCACTTGGACGCCTGCCCCCGGGACCCCCAACCCCCAAACCTAAGACTTCAAGAAGAGGCGGCCGGGGCACTGGCCAGAGGTCTGGCCCGGTCCTCCTCATCTGCCAAAGCCTCGCAGTACTGGGCCGGCCAGTCCTTGGGGTCCTGGTTATGGACCTTGGCCACGAACTTGAGCACTTTCATCTTGCTGGTCTCCAGGTTGGTCCGCGGGCCCCACTGCAGCTCGTAGTCCACCGGATCCGTGTGGGGTATCCGCCGGTACTCCAGGTAACGCTGCCGCACAAACTCTTCGGTAATGAGTTTCTTTGGGTCTCCGAAAATTAGGTGCTTCTTTGTGGGGTACACCCCGAGGCGACGCAGGAAGTCCCAGACTTCCGTCTCCTTGACGGTGTTGCCCTTCATGAAGATGAGCCCCAAAACGATCATGAGCAGGCCGGTGGTGGGCGTGCCCTGGTCGCCCCGCACCTCGGCGTCCTCCTCCACGGGCTCCAGGGTGTTGATCAGGATGTAGCTGTTGCTCTTGGGCTCCAGTTCCACCAACTTGTACCCGAACACGTACTCGAGGCGCTCGGCGGCCAGTCTGAGGAGCTTCGAGAACACGTCCTTGTAGTCCCCGACGACGTGCTTCATGATGTCGGTCCGCTTGATGGGGATCTTCTTCTGGTCTTTGATCAGCAAGAACTGCACCAGCTCCGCCACCTTCAGCTCCAGCTGCTGCTGGGACCTGGGCTCCACCGCGGGGGCAGCCTCGGCCCGGCGGGCGCCCTGCGACGAGGAGCCGCGGGGCTCCTGTGAGCCGCCCGCCCCGCGAGAGGTGCTCGGGGCCTCTTCAGTCACGCCGCTCCTCGCAGCCCGGTTATCTCCGCCGCGGCTCCAGTCCCGGTCGGCATGGGAGCTGGGGCGGCCCCGGCTCCGCGACTTCTGCAACATGTCGCCGGCGGTGGAAGCCCGGCGCGGACTTCAGCGGCCGAGCGAGAAGCTCCCAGTAACGGGCAGCGGCAACCAGAGAGCGGCGCGCGGCGGGGATTATGGGTCAGCGCACGGTACGTCTGGGCGGGGCCAGACGGTGAGAGAGGCGTCACAGAGAGTGCGCGTTGCGTCGGCGGCGGAGACCGCGCGTTGCGTCACGGGGGCGACGTGGGGCGTCCTCGGCGTCTCCGCGGCCGCCGCACGTCTGTGCGCATCCCTACGGGTATCTGCGGTGGTATTTAAGGCTGGGGTTAAAAGTGTCGTGTTGACCAAACTGTGCCAGTGGAGGACTGGCGCCAAAACTCCGGAACCAGTGTGCGGCTGCGTTCAGGCCCAGCATAGTGATAGAGAACGAGTATCAGAAGTGCTAAAATCGGGAATGTTTTTAGATGGAGGAAACTCATGCATGGGAGAGAAATGGGGTAGAGAGAAAGGCAAGGGCCGGAAAGTACAGTGAAAGCATTTCCTTGTACACGAAGCTGGACTAAAGTGAATAAAAGACCTAGGGGACGCCCGGTTTGCTTGGTTTTCGCTGCTCCCTCCCTTCCTCCAGTTTAAACCCTCCTAACCGTTACCACCGGTGGCCTTCGCTAATGCCACTAAGAGTCTATTAAAAAGGAATGTCTGGTAAAGGCAGGCATGCCTCGCTAGCAGGACTTTCCCCGTCTTTCCATTGTTTCAGTATTTATATTTTTGCATTAAACTCCATCCGGTAGCTAGACAGCTACAACCGAACCACCGTTTAAAGCACATTTCAGTGAAGTGTTTTTGCTTGGTCAATTGAGTTTATCTTTGGGAAAGCACACGGTCATGTAAACCGCCTTGGGCCCACAACCACAATTTAGCAGAAAGGGGTAAGAAGGATGTTACGAACAGAAACACGCTCTCAAGAGATTACCGTTTAATTTTGGGCATCACTGAGCAAGTACTGCAGTAACGTGGGTCTCTTAAATTTCTTAATTCTTACTATGTATCAGCCTTAGGGATCGATGAGAAAGAAAGAATCCAGGGGTATCATCCCTCATCATCTGTGATGTGTGCACTTTGTGTATGTGTGTTTTAATTGTGCAGCTCTAATAGCCGACGTGAGTCATTTCATTAACTCAAACTATCTGGAATCTGCTGCCATGACTTAACACGCTCTTAGCAAATGTGTTCCTTTTCTATTTTCCGACTTGCAAAGAAGAAACTGAGTTTCCCTGTGCTTTTAAAGCTCCCCAGAAAGTGGGTAAACTTTAAAGAACCAAATCAAACTCAGTTCCTCTTTAATGCAAATATATTCAAAGGAAAGCAATTCAAAACACATTATTTGAATAATAGCACCAAAACACAATCTTATTACAAATTTCATTAAATGTTAGTCGCATAAATTTTTGTTTGTGATTCAATATGAAAATGCAATCTTATAATGGCACTAGAATTGCAATATTAAATGCAAGATGATAAATTCTATGTTCTCATGCAAGTATGCTAACTAAAATCTGGTAAACTATGTATAATAACTTTCTATTCCACACAAGATCTAACAATATATCCTCAAGATCAATCTTTATGACAGAACCCTACTAAGAAAAACAAATAGATCATCAGGACTTTTTTTTTTCCCAATAAATTTCATCTTCAATTTACTTGCAAATTAAAATTTGGACTCAAGTGCAAAGAATGTTCCTGAAGTGAGAATTCTGCAAAAACTCCCCACCCCCCAGAATGATCAGCTGTACCCTGAGTTAAAAAAAAAAAAAAATCAGCAACCAAGAGATAACAGAGAAATGGAAAATAAGATGAAAGCCACGGCCAGCAACGAGGCTGGTATTTGTGTGTGTGTTTTTCTTGCTAAGGTGTTCCCTTAAATTACCAAGTAACAAACAGGTCAAGCTACTCCCCGCAACTGTGTGAATGAAAACCAGCAGTGTCCATCAATGGCATCTTTATCCAGACAGCAGATTGTCATACTCAAAATGGGTGAGAAATGATAACAGTTTTAAGTCTTTAAACACCTCTCTACATTGTGTCGTGAAAAATGCAAGGGAAAAAAACAGACGCAAACTGATTGCACTTGAATGAAGGTTAGGCATTGCACGGAAAAATCATCCTGACCCACACTCCACGATACACAAAGTCACGGGTGTTTGTGAGAAAATTGTGGGGATGATGTTAATAACAATAACAACAGTGGGTCAGACCCAATTCTAAGTGGTCTACCTGTATTGCTTCATTTAATCGCCACAACAACCTTATGAGACATGTGCATTTATAATGTTTCTCTTTTCACAAAGAAGAAACTGAGACACAGAGAAGACTATTAACTGTTTTTGCAGTCCTAAGGAAGCAATGGATCTAGATGTGAATGAAGGTACTCTCCTTCCCAAGGCTTAACCACATGCTGATGCAGAGAGAACATAGATACCATGTGCATGAAAAAGGAAATGTTTGGGAATCATATGGACCTAAACCATACATGTTTATGATATTGCAAAAGCTACCTATACTCTTTTCTGTTTCCAAATCAACAAAGTAAGATTACTAATCAGGCTTCACGGGACTAAGCGAGACAGGTTTGCCAAATACCTATTATAGGGTCGGAACAGGGTAGTTGATAATAATTTGCTTCTTTCCAGGGGTGCTACATTAAGGACGATGTTTGAGGGCTATACAAAGCTGTATGTGCAAAGATGTTTACTGCACTAAACCACCTGTATACACAAAAATCAGGAAAAAGTCTGAAAATAAATGTATCATGGTATAAAGTTCTTTTCTATTAAAAATGAAATCCAATGTTTATTTTCTTGCTTTGGGAGATCAATGAAAAACATATTTTCCGTCAATGTTCAGTCCACGTGCAAATTTTCAGGAAATTCGGTTGTGATTTGAATATGACATGTGTGACTTCGTTCAGTGTGTGAAGTAATAAAGGCAAGTGCTTAAAAAGAGGAAAACATTTTCAAATATTTCATTTTCATGACCTTAATATGTGTATTACTAGATCCAAAAGAAAAAAATAAAAAATTCTTTGGGGCACCCTGGCTGGGTGGCTCAGCTGGAGCATTGTCCTGATTCGCCAAGGCTGAGGGTTTCCCCCCCCGTCAGGGCACATACAAGAAGCAACCAATGAATGCACCAATAAGTGAAACAACAAGTCGATGTTTCTCTCTCTCCCTCTCCCTCTTTCTTCCTTTCTCTCCCTTCCTCGCTCTCTAAAATCAATCAATAAATTAAAAATTTTCAAAATTCTTTGAGGCAAAAACTAAACTAGTTAAGATTTCAAATGCATTGAATGAAGAAATGCCTATTACCAATTAATTGCTCTTTAGACGTCTCTAAATAATTAATTGCTTTATTTCACCTCCTTGATAGCAAATGCCTACCAAGAAGCTCTGTCTTCATTATCTACTGAATTCTCCTCTTCATTCACTGGTATTTCTTGCAGAACTGAAGGACGGCTTTACATTTTCTCACATTAACCTAGTGTGAAAAGCAAGGATTTTGTGGGAGGAAAAGCAATGATAAAACTATGCCGCCACTGTGTACGAAGTTGCTTGGCTGTGTGTTCCAGTGGCACAAAGCAAGACAGCGTGCCGCCTGTGAGCAAGGGAGTCGGAGGTGGGGCGCGGGGAGCAGACACTAGTTTGGTGAGTATATAGTAGGAAAAGCAACCCAGATTTCATTTCTATATATTGTGGATACATACACATAAATTTTAATCTCACTCAGGAATATTTTTTAAAATTATTGATTTTAGAAATAGAGGAGGGGGAGGAAGGGAGGGGAGAGAGAAAGGGAGAAACATCAACAATGATTGGTTGCTTCTTGTACGCACCCCAACCGGGGATTGAACCCACAACCTAGGGATGTGCCCTGACCGTGAATCGATCCCTCAGCCTGTTGGCGCACAGGACAATGCTCCAACCAACTGAGCCACCCAGCAACGGCAGCCGTCCGGGTATTTGAACAGTTACAATAAAATCCCCGTGTCCACTCGTTTGTAACAAAGATCCATTCTGGGGAAATCGCAGATAAAGGATTACCTAAGAATGGCCCATTGTCCTTCCTGAAAGAAAACTGTGATTAAGTGGCACCAGAGCTGTCCTTGGCTGGTGGAAGGGAGTGAGGAAGCGGGACTCAATGACAGCTCTTTCCAAGCATGGCAGCTACTTGACCTAGAAGGCTATTCTTAGACTCTCTTTTCTAGAAGCGTAAATCTGCCAATTACCCAGGGCTCTAAGTTATAAAATTACAAACACATACATTCCCAACAGTGGCCAATACATTTCTTTTTATTTGCTTAGTTCTACCCCCCAGGAGGCCTGGGCGGGTGCTCGGCCTTGCTTGCCTGCGAGCATGTGATTCAGGCCAGCCACAGCTACTGAGTCAGAAGTCCAACCGCATCCTCTTTGGGGTTCGGATATGTGCTCTCTGAGCCAGTGAGCTGCGGGGGATACACCTAGCTTCTGCCTTAGCTTGGAAATAGTCCGCCTCATGGGGAAGCTGACTCAAAGGTGACGGAAGATGTGGAGAAACAGTCCAATGCTGCCAGCTGAGTCCCTGGTTCCTCATTTCTTAGATGTCAGCAGGCTGGAGCTGCCTGGTTGCCCGGAGCATCTGCCAGTGACAGGAGTTTCCAGACTTGGCTCTATTATTCTTTTAAGTGACACAACTCCATGACTTCTAGGACAAATGGAGGTGTCCACTTAAGACTGCTCTGTAGTAATGGATTACTTTACAGTAGCTAAATATCCTGAGGAAACGCGGGCTCTGGTTGTTCCTGCCGTTTCCTGGCTTCCTGTAATAGAGACATCTGAGAGCTCTGGCAGGGTGGCTAAGTGGGTTGGAGCGTTGTCCTGTTCACCAAAAAGGTTGCCGGTTTGATTCCTGGTCATGGTGCACACAGTGTCTAGGCTGTGGTTTCATCCCCAGTCCAGACGCATATGGGAGGCAACTGATCAATATTTCTCTATCACATCCCTGTTTCTTTTTCTCTCCCCCTTCCTCTCCCTCTAAAAACAAAACAGAACTGACACTATCCCCATCCCTACCACCA